GTTCATTTGGCTTTTCATTCCGCTCGTGCATTTTTCTTCCGATTCTTTCCATCCGGACATGTGCGCGCAAAAGGCGCGCCGTGAAGTTTTCATGTTTTCATCGCGTGGTTGCCTTCGGGGCCGGATCATAATAGAGGCGGAAAATGTCTTTTCACGTAAATAACTTAATTATTGTGCTAGAGGGCGCGCATCGCATTAATTTCTAGTAAAACGGATTTGTTAGCGTCGTAACGTCGTCAACTCGCAAGACTCTGCTCTTTTTTCGCCGAGAAAATGATAAAGAAGAACAAGAGCAACAAATAATTTAATTGCATCGTCGGACACACCAAAAAGAACTCTTCTCTGAATGGAAACGGACACGTCTTGTAACAAAGAGCATCATAAACCTGGTAAAAAGTTTTAGAGCCAACAATGCAAACTTTTTAATTGTATTTCACATTATTTATGTGTTTGCGTATTTATTTTATAAATTTAATTAATATTAAATGTGTTTATTTATACATATATAACAAAAAGCTATTGCTTTTATCAAATTTAAAATGAATTATATTTTAAAATATATACGCTTTCACATTCAATGGAGGAGATTAATTAATCGATAATGCTATTCATTTGATTATTATCTCCGTAATTCAGTTAGTGAAAGCCATACAATTTCAGTAAAATACATAATCCAGGTAAAATATGAAAACAGACATATTCTGTCCTCTAGTGAGTATTACGTTTATGTTTTTTGATAACTGTAATCATAGCAGTAATAATTTCAAGGATGTTACTCATTCTGAAACCAGCATGTAGGGTGCAGCAGCTGCAAGAAGATTTCGTCCAGGCGGAAGCAACTACGAGAATAGCAGGAAAATCAATAAAAGTTTACTCTAACAAACCGCCGATAGAGGGCAACATGTACATTGAATTTAAAATTTATTTATATAAAATACGAGAAAATCGTATAATGCGAAATACTCATTACGCAAACATAATATACTAATATTTTATATATTCATTGAAGTACTGCTTATTAATGCGAGGTTTGTGCACTATTTCTAAACAACATTACAGTAAATAAAACAAGTGTAGCAAATACGTGCTGTTATTTTAAATATTTTGAAATGGGTTTATGAAATTACGGACTTTGTTTATTTTGCCCAAAAATAAATTCGATAATTTCGAAATATAATTTCTTGTTTGCGTGCACCGAAAATCCCAACAAAACTAGTTAATATTTATAACGCGACTAACAGATTTCCCCATTTGTATCCGCCGGCAATATGCGCAACGTAAACACCCAAACAACAATAAATTAAATCATATAACGTTTTGTAATTAGCACCCGCGCGAGTACGTCAGCGTTTTCACATGATTACCACACCGTCAAATAATTAATCGCGTTTTGTTGCCCACGCGCATTACTCGCCGACCACAGGACAGGAGCGAATTAGATAAAGCGCTTTTGTTGCAATTCAATAATAGAAATAATTATAGCGCATTCATAATGCCGACTGTTTACTGGCTTAATTAATTTAATTTTTGAATTTGCATGTTTTCGTGTTTTAATCAGCCGAATTTAGGTTCTTGTTTTCCGAGTTATTAATAAATGGAATTCAATTATTCATTGTTTGGTTTCGATGTTGGTGTTAGCCCACCCACGTTGGATGATATTTCAAAATTGGAAGTAATTTTGAACTTGATTATAGGATTATACAAAAGATACTTTTTGATTTTTTGCTGTGAGTACTCACGAAAATACAGTTTTATTTACTTTTGATTATAGTCCCGCAAAAATAACATTATGTAGTAATTAATAAGATAAAGTTTTGTGTAAGTAAACATATAGTGTACGAGTCCGTGACGTTTCTGTCATTCAGTACATTCACTCACACATCACAACCATGAACGATTCAATAAACAAAGAGTCGAATTCAAATTATATTTTTAAGGTCATTCCGAGATGTCGCTAAGATGTCTGTTTCGACTAAAAATCTTCTCGCGTTTTTATCACATCGTTGTTGAAAAGAATTGTTAACATACACATTGGTTATCGCAGCAGCGCATTTTATCAATTAACATTGATTTTATCTTATTTTACGCTAGATATTAAATCATAAAAGAAAAACATATTTAAATAATTCATTTTTTTATAATTTATCAATAGATATTATGTAAAATATAATACATTACTATGTGGTATATATGTTTAGTTTCGGGTGTTTAATTTAATAATGCTGCTGATTGAAATCCGTGTCCTTGCTAGCGATTACAGGTACACGGTTACTTCGCCAATCAATTCTATGCACGATCACTTATCAAATGTCCGATTCAATAACAATATCAGACGATTTCAAACTGAACTCCTAAAATATTTCCGAGATGTCGCTAGAATATACGTTATAACTAAAAATATTCCCGCGATCATATCGTTGTTGCAATGTTTTGTAAACATGGGCCATCGCAGCGGATTTTATAAACACACGTCCACTTTATCTCATTTCGCGCCTGAAATGTTAGACAAAATTTCTTTAAAATAATAAATGTAAAGAATATGTGAATGAATCTACTATTTTATCATAAAATACCTCATCTTATGTGATTTGCATTTTGTCACTACTCCAATAGTAGTTATTATCAATTTACATCTTATTCTACGCTTGAAATAAATTCATAAAGATAAAGAATATCTAGTTTTATGATTAGTTAACAGATATTATGTAGTTTACGTTGCGGTTTGTGGTTTTAATTAACGTAACTTTTATTAAAACAAATTTTTATGATTCAGTATATTGTTATAAAATAATACGCACACGACTAAGGGTTTGGGATTTGTTTGGCAAAAATGGTGAACCCGCTGACGAGGCATTTATTTCGTTTAATGCGATGTCATTGATTGATTTCGGCCGATGGCCTGGCGGACGTTTAATTTGTGTTTTTATTGTGTTCAGCCGCGGCGGCTATTCATCAATTACGAATGTTTTTCAACGTGTATGCACGTACGCGCCAAATATTCCACTGAAATTTAAAAAAAACTACTCCATACATAAAACTCGTTTATATCTGCAATGTGTTTTTATTTTGACGAAATACGGTTTGCAATTGCAATAACACGCCGCGAATTCAATTGAATATATGCGGCTATCTTTTAGAGTAGGCACTTGTAGTGCGCGTAGAGCTTAATGAAGTCAATTTGGATTTGAATTTCGAAATATCAATCTCCGCTTCTATTTACGAAAAAGCTCTACACATCGGGCGGAGAATGCAAATACGTTTATCGGTAATGGGCGCTTGTGGTGGTGGCGACGGCAATGTGCTATTTAAGAGCCCACTCTATGCATATTTTTCTAAATCCAACGCGTTCCACTTTACGTCAGGCGCAGCCACCACCACCACCGATCCTCGTTACCAATCGCCAATCTCACCCTCTCCATGAACAACACACAGTACACGTTGAAGTTGAAGTTGATGGGTTCGCTCTTGTCGCCTGGGTGTTCACACACCCATGTTAGTTGTGTACGATGTCGATCGTTTTCTTTTCGGTAGGAAATCATCGATAACAAGTACGTCAGCGGGACGAATGACGTGTAGAGTACGCTTTCACTTCTCAGCGATTTTCGTCTTTTATCAAACTCAATCTCCAACGAAAAAATTTAAACTAGCATTATTAAATAAACGTATTTTCTTCATTTGCATCGATGTAAAAGTGAAAGCCTTGTTTGTTGTAATAATTAATCTGCTAACGAAGCAGGCCGCCAATCAAGAGGCAAATCCGTTGGTTCATTAAAAAATTTATCTCGTGATCAGATTACATAATTAACGAACGGCGGCGTGGCAAAAAATTTTTCTTTTAATTTCATTTTTAGAAGCAAACATATTTGAATTTTAAATCAAGCCTTATAAAAAAAAGTTTATTTTCTTAAGTTGTATGCTTTCGTCTTGGATTCAGCACGTATCGTATTTGTTGGTCTTGGCATGCGTGTAAGGTATACACAGGGAGCAAATTAATTTATAGAGGCGCAGGATTTGTTAATCTTATTTCCTGCTCGACTCACGAAGCTGGTATTGAATCTCGCGGGTTACACTCGAATGGCAACTGCACCGGTAGCTCGTGCTCATGGGTTCGGTTCCTTCCGCGGCCCGACATTCCCGGTGGTGACTTCCCAGTCCCGAAATTCGGTGTGGTATACGACCGCGCGCGTTCCTTGCATGAATTCCGGCGGACGCAGACGCCACCGAAGACCAGGCGCAGGCCCTTTTGCTCTTATGACCGTATTAACCCAATTTATCGCTGCGGCGCTGGCGATAAATTGAAGTATTTGTTGGTTTCGTGCGCGGCGGAATGGTTAATAGAAGCGGCGCGGCACCACCGGCGGAGGCGGCGGTCTAGATTTGTTCGTTTCTGGTCGCGTTGCATGTGAGCGCGTGGGATCATGCGCATGTGGCTGTGTGTGTGTGTGTGTGTATGTTATCAGCGAGTGGGTTTCCGCGCGGACCAGGTGGCACAGCTGCTAATGACGACCGTCGTTCCTGCGGTTTTCCCCATCGCCGCCGTCGACGACGTCGTATCGTGCATCCGACACGTAAACTGTTCTCTTAGCAGCGCGGTGCACACGCGTGTATTAGAGATTTCCACATTACGGAAAACGATAACATCAATTCAGATAAATTGCTAATTTAGTGCAATATTACGCTCCCGAAACCCTCTGAGCTTCCGCCATCGTCGGGCGAACCTTTGTTTCAAGTGCTAACCTTTTCAACATTTTCCTGCTAAATCAACCTATGCTCGAAATGCAATTCCAACTTGCGATATCATTTCACATTAGATTAGAACATAATTAAACCAACTTAACACGGAGTAAAATATTCTTTATTAAATGGCGAATAATGTTCACTGGATTGGATAAACAATGAATTCATTTGGTAGTGGACAGTTTTGGCATAAAGTACAACTAATACATATTTTGTCATCAACACACACACTTGCATGTTTTGTCGTTGGCTGATACTCACAGCGCGCTTTGTTCAAACAGTGCGCCAATAACGACAGCCCGACACTGGCATGAGAACGACATGAACAGCATAACCGTGAGGCGGGTACGACATTGCATGAATTTACAAATACAAATTGCAAATACAAGCACGAAATTCATTAAACAAGTTGGACGTTGAACGGTGAACATCAACAATCCAAACTAATTCAACACAAGGTAATAGTTGGTGTATAGGTAGGTATAATATAATACATTACCATCGCTATTACTAAATTAAAATAAAAGAATTAATATCAAATTTTAATTCAATATCCAGTAAATATGAGGAAACAAATATTTCATTTTGGGGGTTTAGAACGGACATTAAATAGAAACTTGAATTTTGCATTTTTGCAAAAAAAAATTTATCTTTTGACTTATTAAAAAACTGATTAATTAGATTGGCAGGTCTAAATCATTTTCATACAAATATCCAATTGTCCGATAAAACACAACATTTTTCTACTTGATGTTAAAAATTACTTTTTTCCAGAAACTCTTCAATTGGCCTTGAGTCCCGAAGAGTACGAATGTAAACATGATGGTCGAATTTAAGGATTCCCAGCATGTATCCACGTACGTTTGGAGTTTTCAAAACCGTGGGCCGTGCGCGTCACAGTGTGTTTATGCATGTGTGTATTCGCGAACGGAACTCAAGCGCACCGCAACGAAAGAGAAGAAAATGCCTCCCCGAGGAACTCTGAAATAGATGAAGGGTTGGAACATATTTTCGAGCATTTTGGGAATAGCCTCGGCTTGGCGCGTCGTGACGCAGATAAAGATATCTATATATGTACTGCCTTGGAAATGCTCGCATCATAGGGATATTGAAAAATACTGTGTTTACCCAAGGTGAGGTGCTTTCAGGAGATACCTGTATTCACCGCAAAATAAAATAATAAAAAATACTTTAAATTTAATAAAGAAACACGGTGATATGCTGTAATGCAGCATAAACATTTTAGAGGTAATTTTTTTTTGTTGATTTTTTTAAATATTATTTACACACAATTTTTATTGTTATTTTATTATTTAAAGTAATGGTATTTGCACCAAAACTGAAACATTTGATCTTAATTACACCCATTGCAAATCGTTCATCATTTGATAGTTATTGTTGATAAAGCAATTCTTGTTTGCGTATTTTGGGCTCTCAAACCTCGTTGAAAACAATTTAGTTTATTGGTCCTGCTGTTACCGGTAGCGCGTGCACCCGGTAATTTATTGCGAATGCATAAAGTTTCACTCTGGTTCAGCATTTCTGTATAGCGCGTTATCCTGGAAGAATGTAAGTACCTGCTAATAAATATTTTTATTATTCCTGCACAACTACTTATGCGGGGTTATTGTAGGAGGTGTAGTATTCATGCAAAATATTGCATTGAATTGCAAATACAGTATTTATGTCAATCAAAATTATTGAAACAAATTTTTAATTAAATTTTCTTACACTGTATCTATAAATTATTTTTGTGTGTAATATAATTAACTAGTGATTTATTTTATAGCCAATATCAATATTTGGAAATTTTAGTTTGATTAATTACTGCAAGTATTTACGATTGCGCTATGCATAAAATGTTTATGAGCCTTGCAGTTTCAAATGCTTTTTAAATTTATAGCGAAACGGAAATTGCTCTAAAATGGTAAAACTGCAAAACCTGGAACGGTCACCATTAGTTTTGATCGATTCCCATGCGATTAAAACGAGATTATTTGAGTGCATCGTATCAAGCTAATATGTACTTACTTACTCATTTACGTAAACAAAATAAATATATAATTTTATTTTTATTGTTTTACGCCAGTTTTGAAAATATCTAGTTTATGCTGTTTTGGAAAAACACTCAACTCGTCCATATATACTTTTAATAAATCACTAATGCTTGTTTCATAACCAGTCATAAAACGCAGAAGCCACTTAAATGCTATTATAATAATACCAACAATTCATATAAAACCTGTGCGAGTGGCTTCTCGTGGGTCATACAATTCGGAGACTGAGTAGAGTGATGATGTTCTAATATAAGTTGAAACGACCGGCCCGGTAAAAAGTTGGCTTTTACGCCTGATGGCCGCCGTCGTTCGTTTCGATATTATTCGGAAAGTTTGCGCGCTTAAATGGTTCAATAAAATTGCGAAAAATCTAGCTTGCGGATTGGATCAACCTCCATCAGGGATTTTAAATATCAAAAATGAAAAATTTATGACAGTTTAAAACTTGATAGAGCTTTATGACTATAACTACTTCTACAACTAGAAATTTGCATTAAAAAATAACACGATGTTTCGTTTGGATGAATTTCGTGCATAAATTTAAAGTGCATTCTTTGTCTGCTTCCTGGTTATGTCTGCGCTGACGCGCTTCTTGAAAAGCAATCAACTTCGACACGGCCATGACGAGCGATGCGAAAAACTCGGTGCAAACGAAGCAAGTTCTCCGCCGTTCTAGGTTTGCGTACGCGTGCGCGAAATTCAATTTTCTACGAGTGCCCATCTCACACTAGCCTCGGCGCCTCCACCATTGCTTACAGGAGCTAGTATCGAACCTCCAAGAGCGCAAAAGTATGCTAAAAGCAAGCGGCAAGTCCAACGGCGAAACCCTATTATAAGCTCGATAATGGAATCCATTTCCAAACGCTGACTCACGCCGGCGTTGGATGCGCGCCAATACAACGCCATTTACATACGCATTACGCGAAATACTAAATTAAAAGGCTTTACAATAATTGTCAACACGTCGTGAAAGTAAATTACGTGTGTTAATCTATAAATTGCATTAAAACACTAATATAGTAAATTAAGCTGTATTTTCCGTTGTGTGACATACTCGCATGTAACGGCGTGAAAATCTGTCGCATATTAATCAGTTTTATTTCAGGTAATAATTACATAGCGCATAAAATTTATTCGAATCGCGCTGGACATTAATGCAAAAATATTAAAATATTAAAACATTACTAGCGTGTCAGGAATGTGTGGCTGTTGTTTGTTACAGAGAAATGTGACATTTATGACGTGTAACACGGAAGGTAATGAATTTTCCGCTTGTGGATTAAGCCCTGCTGAACATCCGGTCGTGCAATTTTGCTATTATGTGCGACATGCAGGCGTTTCCTGTTTTCTTCCAACTATCTCGTTATCATTAAATAATTAAAACATTATTTGGTAACAAAGAGATTTTACGAACGTAACGATTTTTCTAAATTTCACTGGGAAATAACTTGAAGTCGATGTGGATAGAAGAAAATAAGCTAAAAAATAAAATCATTCACAAAGTAAATATTCTTTTGCATTTTTAGAATATGCGCCTCAAGCGAGCAAACTAAGGAGAACCGAAGTCGTTATTGTCGATTTGCCCCGAATGCCCTTGCGGGGGTCTTTATATCGTCTTTATAGAGTCCTTAAAGATCCACTAAAAGTAAAAAGCGACCGGCCATTGGACGATGCCGACCACGATGTCCTCGGAATTGACCGTCGCTTGAAAAAATAAACTCGTAAAAGCAGTCACCCTAGAAATGTACAATATACAAAATGTTGTCAACTCAAAATATAAAACATATTTTTTACAAAAAAATTTTAAAATTAATTGTCTTCATTCAATTTTTATTTGATAACTTTATGTGCAACGTTTTTAATTTTTTATTTAATTTGTTTATTTGACCTATTAATGCTATTTATGGGACACACATTGCAAAAGAAGTAGGTAAACAAGGTTTTAGTGTTTTATTTTTCAATATTTATTTGATTTTGCAAGTTGTGTTGTGCTCGGCGTTTTGTCGATGTTAAACAATTTTGCGTCGACGTGATTCCGGTGTACACATGTTTTCATTTTCCCAGACTGCTTAAGAATCACTTAGCATGTAAATGTTTGCGTTAGCCAGCGGTTAGCTCCGGCGCCAATGTCCATTCTCGTCGATTTCGTCCTGTGGCGCTTGTTATCGTTTTGTTCGACCAACATTTGCTATAAAATACACTACCATTCAAAAGCATTAATATATTACCATACACAATTTAAATTTTATATTTTACTATTATTAATATTTTAACTGAATCATCCCAAACAAAAATCACACGTGAATTTTATATTAATAAATTAAAAATCATATAGAAAAACACAGTAAATTTATTTTTACTTATACTAGAACCCAAAAACTTTTGAAATTTGAAACATTTAAAAATAACTTAATTTTCATCGAGTATCGACACTTAAAAGTGTTGGTACTGTGATTTATGCGAGCGTCGAATAAAGTGTAAACAGCCATAACTCATTGCCAAACATTGCTAGGGTGAACTGGGCGGTGTTGACTACCGCACTGCCGGCATCACTGCGATGGCGTCGACGGCGGCGTCGTTGTGCAAATAATCCGTGCCAAATTAAATTCGATTGTTTTCGGATAAATTTGCAGGCAACAATCCCGGAACTTTGCGAATTAGACACGAATAGACCTTATTTTATTTCTACCAAATATTTAAGGTTAGAATTTAAGAAATTTTTACATAAAATCTTCAAATTAATTGTTACATATTCTACAATCATAATAATTAATATTAAGTTTTAATAATGTTTCTAATCCAAGAATATGGTTAAAATTATATGCTCTGTGTGTGTCTGTGAGGGTTTTGGTTCATATTTGGCGTAGTGGGTTTTGTTTTAATAGAGAAACGATAGTACGTAGTGGAGGGTGAGAACTATAGGGTTCTGGTCTGACCCAATGATGTCGACTCGACGAGGCGTGCAACCTTCGATCGCGCACTTAATTCGCGCTCGCTTCTTCGTCGCCGTCGACGACTTTCATTATCCCGCGCCTTATTTGGGTGGTAACTTAATTAATTCCCAGTTGCTACGTGTCTTTTGTACCTTCAGTAGTATTAACAGGTCGTGACTCGGCATACTCGCCGCGAGAGATACGCACTCCTTTTGCCCAGTCTCAAGTCAAGTGTACGTTCAATTAAAGTACTTCCGGTGTCTGCCTCTTAATTCTCCTACACGAGTACACATTTTTATTAATTAAGTTCTTGAAATCTTTCTTTTTTGCTTTTTACATTTTCCACATTCTAGTTAGTATTATCAGAAACGACGCAGTAACACTAACCATCTGTTAATCTTGTTCGACGAGAAACAATAGCAAAGATAATTGGATACGTGTAGTATGCCGAAGTGGGATTGAATCGGTGTTAATAAACCGCATTGTTTATTGTGGTGGACGTTCGTCCCCGAGAGGCGGGGTGCATAAATGAAAGGACAAAAGGTTATCATCCGTCGCTGGTGTTCTTCGTTAATCCATCCAGCCCTGACCTAACCGAATCTATTCCGGGCACCGCCATCGCCCGCTGACTGATGGTCACCAGCGTCGGTTCGCACCGCATCTGCTTTGACTTCATGCGCTCGCTGGAGAAGAATATTAATTATAGCGGTCCGTACAGCGCGCTGATAATAAACGACACGACATTAATTTCTTGGCCACCTCGCCGGGACGCGCCCGCTGCGGCCGCTGTTGCGCAACTTAACTCATCGTTTTGCATCGGGGGGATGGTTGTGGATGCGACGCTAGGACAATATACTCACGGTTAACTAAACTTGCCTGCTTTAATGATTATGCAACAGAAATTAAATTTCTGCATCTAAAAGTTACGGTAACACTCAGTGTAGAAGTAATTCTTGGGATTGTTGTGTTAGAATTGCTGGAGTTTACCGCTGCAGGCAAGGATGTCGACGCGCAAGAACCTTTTTCGTATTATTCAGCCGGATCGTGCTCGAGTGCTGTAGTTAGATAACAAAACAAGTAAGACAAGCAACCGGATTTGCATTTTGCGTGGTCGCCGATCCTACATGCTCGAATGGTGGATGGTAGATGGTGGATGGCAGTTTGGGTTATTAATACGCGTCTTTTTTGGTTGACTAAGGCACAAAAACAATAGTTACATTTACTTCCGGGTTTTAATAAATTATCCCCCATCATAAAATCACCGATAAACTTACTCATCCAAAGCGCTGGTTTTATAAACCAAAATGTTGTTATTCTAGTGAATTAGCTCGGAAAATAAAGCCTGAAATTTTGTTTAAACCGTTGGAAGCAATTAAAACTAATTGCA